AGATCCTGTCCAGTAAAGTGACATAGAGAGAGGATGGCTGAAAATATAAGTCACAACTCTGGGGCAAGCGTGTTCCACAGCAGTCCTGAAGGAGCTCATGGGGTAGGCAGATGGTATGTGATAAACAAACTTGAGTGCTAGGGACCAGTGAGAAACACAAAAGAGACAAAACATTAAGTTATGTAAACTGTTCTTCTCAGGCATTTAAATACCCAGGTCCCCATTTCTTCATGTCAAGGAAAGTATGTCACACCTAAAAAAGGATTTGGTGACATTAAATTTGGGAACAATGTTTTGATGCATGATGCATCATGGGCAAGGTAAGATACCTTGATGCTTTTAGTGATATACCAGGTTATATGAAAAGATAACTGAAACCCACACAGTCTATTATTTCTATGCTTACACATACTTCTTTTCCACCTGCTTTGGGGCATAAAAGATACTTGGAGTCATAACTTTGGTTTTAAAATAATCAAACTACATCATTAGAGGTCTTGATCATCACAAAGACTTTTTGTGGAGAAAATTATAGTTGCAAATCTATAAAACATCTAATGCCCACCAGATACAGTGTTCATTTTTTTTTCCTGCCTAAATGGTTCCTTAAAGAATGGGCTGTTGAATTTCACATTTAAAAGAACTGAGGCTCAGGTTCATGAAGTAACTCATCCAAGAGACAGAGCTGACTGTAAATAGGATGCAAGCTAGTGTGGCTTCTTCACTGAAACTCTTAACCAGGGCACCATCCACTCAGTCATAGGTCAGAACTCTTATCTCTGTCAAAGAAATGGAAAGCAGATGTAGCCATGCCTTTATCTTAGTGATAACTGAAATTTTTTTTTTTTCCACCTTGAACTACTATGAGCCTCTTTCTATATGGTCTCCATGCAGGACATCTGAGAACTGTTCTCTGTGTGAATGCCTGTTTTATATTAGTACATTCGATACTTAGTGTCTGTAGAATTGGCTTGTTTCAGCTTACTGTGAAATGACTGGAAAATACTAATGTTTCGAAGCAACACTTTTAATACAATGTTAGTTAGTACTGTCTGGATCAAAGTTTTGCTTACTTAAGACTTATCAGGAAGGAGCTAAGTTATGAGGTAATTCCTAGGTAAAGTGCCTGACAAGATTACAGAGATGTGTAGCATTATTGTTCTGGGAATCTAGGGATCTCAAGTTCATTTTCATGAATTATGCTTTCTTTGCATCACAGACATTAGTATAACGGGTTGTTAAAAGTTCACTTTCAGCTCTGGCTGAAATATTTCAAAGCATCTGGGACCAAAGAGAAATGCTTTAGTTACTAATGTCTGTGTATACTGAATGGCTTTTCTATTTACTTGGTTGTGAGTGGTTTCAATAGTCCCTTTGACTTCAACATTTCTTTAGCACATAATATTCTTTGGCTTATCACATTTTTATCACACTTCTATTGATTTTTTTCCTACATAGCTGAAATTTTAAAGGCTTCTTCATAAGGAAAATGCAAAATGTGTCTAGAAGACTATTTTTTGCTGCTTTCTGCAAAGTTTAGGATTGAAACAAATGCATGAGCAATATATGCCGCTGATAGTGTGAAGGCTCCATCAGCCTCACAGGAATAATGCTAGCTGACCACTTGGTTTGACCATGGTTTGGAAAAGGCAGGTAGATAGGAAGAGCAAAAAAACTCTCCAATGACTGGAGGACATTTATAACTTGATATAATAAACTCAATATGAAGGTTTTTTGCCTTGAGATTTTTCAAACCTTGTTTACCCAACAATGAGACTAGACAATCCTGATTCCGTAGTAGCCAGACACCACAGGACGGCTATGGTTCAGCTGTATAATGACATTGTCTTTGGGGAGGATTATATGGACAATGACTCAATGTCCTCTGGGAGACACCATGTGTTATATCATTTACATTGTAATACCAGCATTCTGCTGAGCAGTTATGGAAGAAGTAACTAGAAATCAGAGAGGTCACCTGAGCCCCCTTGGGGATAAGGTGACAGGTGGATATTAAACCTGAATCTGCCTGCTTTGCACTTCAAACTGCCATCTGTACTCCACGGTTTCCTCTTTATACCACGAAAGGTTATTCACTCACTGTAGGCTTCTGCTCCTCCTTGCTTTCCTGGCTCCAATGGGATATCCTCTTCAACCCTCAGCTAATCATGGTCCAAAGATGCTGGGCATCTCAGCTACTCTGAGATTTCACATGAAAGAAAAAAAGGGAGGTTCTCTTTTCTTCATTATGATCATCAGCCTTACTGTCCTTCTCTTACATAATTCTTTGGGACAGGCTTCGGCAAAATCAATCTTCCACGGCTACTTACCAACTTTAAAACTGTGGTTTATTTTGAGGTAGAAGCAAGAGACACTCTCCAGTAACTTCAGTGAAAGGTTATTGTTTCACTTGTTTGGAGGAAAAAAAAAATTCCCAGAAGCACTAGGGAAACTAGCAAGAAAATCAAGGTCAGACCATACCTCCTCTTTCACGCTTTTTATTGCTATGTGTTCCCAATACAACAAACAGCATCAGTAGTGTACACCTTGATAAAAAGGAACTTCCAGCTTAGTAGAAAAGAAAGCGCATAGGTAGAAAGTGGAAGGATATGTACATCTTGTGGGGGTGTAAGTGTGTGACCATCCTCAGGTTCCTGTGGAGATGTGTGTACACCCAAGTAAACTAGAGAGAGTTTCATCCTGGTGAAGTTTTCAAGAGAGAGAGAGAGAGAGAGAGAGAGAGAGAGAGAGAGAGAGAGATCCTTTTAAGGCTCAGGGATTGTTAACTATCAGGAAGTCACCTAACTCGACATTTAAAATTCTTGCATGAAGTAGCAGCAATTGTTTCGAGGTATTGAGTCATAGCTTAGGCTGTTGATTTATGATGGTTGCAATGCAAAAGGCCTTCTCAGTCTGTGCTTTGAGAGGATTACACATCTCTACTTTAATCTGTGGAATGGATTTCTAGACATGTTTAGAAAGTGATTTCAAAAGCATGCTAACAATGATCTTTGTCTTTAAGTGCAATTCAGGGAGTATTCATTATATACTTAAAATACGTTTTGTTTGAGACAGGGTATTGCTACATAGACCTGGCTGGCTGCACACTCACAGTAATCTTCCTGCCTTGGATTCTGAAGGCTGGGATGGCAGGTGTGTACCACCTCACCCAGCTTTAGAAATATTTCTAACTCGCTATTTCATTCAATAGCTAGCTGAATTTCCTGACTATTTTATGTATCCTTGAAGGGGAACAAGTCATCAACTCTGTCTCAACTACTTAAAAAGATGTAGATATTTAATACAAGCTTTGCCTGTAATCCCAGCTTCTTGGGAGGCTGTGGCAGGTGGATCCACAAGTTCAAGGCCTGCCCCGACAGCTTAGGGAGATCCTGTAGTGGAAACACAAAAGGAGCTGGGACTACAGCTCAGTGAAGGAGCGCTTGCTTAGCATGGGAGAGGCCCTGGATTCAACCAAGTGCTGCCAATGGTGTCTTTTAAATTAAGAATCTGTCCAGTTTTAGTTCTTTGAGTTGGCTGTGTGCTTGTGCTCACTTTAAATTTTGTTCTTTCTGTACAGAACATGGCACACACTAATCATGTCTCTCTAGTTTACTAAAATGTCATTGATATTAGTGTAAATATTAAAGACAAAAAGACTATCGAGAAAAAAAATCAACTCTTAAAATAAATATCTTCAGATCTTTATCCTATATACAAGTACTATACATCCACTCCCTGGGAGGGAGTGCTTCTGGCTTTAGTGTGAGCATGTTCGTCCCTGGCAGAGCTGCCAGCATGGCACTGCAGTCGGGTGCACTGAGGCCATGAACAATTAGATAGGAACCATGCAGAAAATAAATATCCCAACCACGACAGAGACGCTTCCTTGAACCTGCTTGCAAAGCACGAATGGACCCAAGTGTCAGTCTCGCCTGATGACACTTTTCTCAGCTATGGGAAAGCACACACAGCACCCCCGTGAGTGTCACAGTACATTGAGCACAACTGTTAACACAAGGACAGGCCATCGTGGACACAATGTGCATCTTCATGATGCCCTCTGACAGGGTGATGGCAAGGAGGCTGGGATTTGCTGTATACAAGCTTATCCGCTGCGCCCGGTGTGCACAGATACATGAAGACACTGGTCCCGTTCCTTCTGTGGTTAGAATGGAAGGCAGGTCACCTGTGTACCTGCAGTGCCAACAGATGAACCAATGGCAAACCTTCTGTACGATGTCAGTAGCTGCAATCCCAACTTCCTCAGAATATTCTGCTTTGAAATCAACTCATGGAATGTCACATAAGGCAATACTCAATGACAGGCACCCTAGAACATCCAGAAATGTAAGATAGTAAACAATCATCAGAGACATCTTTTAAAATAATACTGATTTCTGCAATGTACAGTATTTACACAGCAGTTGCAAATTTGCTCATACAGTATTTCTAATATAGATAAATAGGAATACAAGTCTAAGAATTATTTTCCAAAATTTCTTGAAGCGTAAACCACTGGCATTTGTTTCAGTAATTTTGACTGTAACTTTTTAAAAACAAACAAACAAACAAACAAACACATCAGCTGATATGCACAAATTGGCTCCAGTCTCTTTTCTTCTTTAGAGAGCACCTAACACATTGAACCACTTTGCATTGCTTTTCTGTTTTTGAGAGGGGTGTTCCAGGCTGGCCCAGACACAGCAACTATCCTCTTCCTTTAGTTTCCCAAATGCTGGGACTCTAGGCAGGGGCCACTGCAGCTGGGCTCTTTCCTTCTGAAAACAGTCTTTGGCGCTTTCTTCCAATGGATTCGGTCAAACAAGTCAACACAGAACAGGAGGAGGATGGAAGCAACTGAAAAGTGAACCAGCACTTCCTGTCCTTCCATTTACAGAGCACATGAGTAAACCTTGAGTGGAGAGTACTGCTTTTTTAACAAGCTGTATGCACCATGCAGGGAGGGAGGATGTCCGGGTTTCCCTTTCATTTCTAGCTCCATTAGTCCGCTTTCTCATCTCTCTGAGGTGGTTGACCTGATCGGATGTCTCCTGCTAATACTCTTTCCATCTTTCTTTGGGGTTCTTGTCTGGGGAGAAGCACCTATTGAATCACTGAGAGCAGGGGCGGGGACAGCAGCCATAGGTGAGGCAGAATAGAGGTGATCAGTCTTTAGGGCTGAGGAGGGTGCTATTGATAATGGCGTTTTTCTCCCAGACTGCTGTGCTTTCTTCTGGTGGAAGTTAGCACTAGGTCTGCTGCTGGCTTGGAAAGCAGCATATGCGTTTGCATTTGCTATGGAAGAGATGTTATGAGAGGATTTCTTCTCAGCACGGGTCCCTGAGTAGTTAGGGAGAAAGGGTGTAGGCATCACTAGCGACCTAGGGAGGTCACTAGGGCCAAAGATAGCATCAGTATGGATTTCAGCAGCTTCTTGAAGGTATGGTGGTGGCAGGGTACCACTGCGTTTGCTACATGACTCACAACATAACTTGTTATACCCTGGGATGGAGCAGTATCGTGCCAGCACCTCCATTTGACAGAATATGGACTTGTCGCCCAAACATGGCTCATCTGCAAAAACATAAGCGGAAAAGAATAGACATGCATAAACACAAAAGCGTCAAAGAGACGGAAATCATTGGCAGCTTCAAAAATATATCATGATATCGGAAATCCATACACAAGCCCTTGAATTAAAAATATAAACACTAGGATGGATACACTGCAATACGTAGGATTTGTTTGGATCTTTAATTTTTTTTTTTAAGGCAGGACCTCTCTGTGTTGCCCAGGCTAGCCTCTGTAGGGCCAAGGTTATCAGCATGTCCTACCACACCTGCCGGACAAAGCAGCTCTGTGTCTACAAAGCACTTGGCACACTCATCATTTTACCATCGTCAGCAGAGGTTGTCAGATGACTGAGGGGAATTTTGTCTTTGAGAGAAAACTGAGATATGTTTTCTGATTGTAGAAGGAGAAAGCGAGGTTCGTTCTCGAGATAAGGGGGGGTATCATTTTTAGTTGTGTAATACTGAAGGGTGCCTTTCTCGTAACTTGCCTCTACAGTAATTTTAAATTCACAATTAAAATGAGTATTAAACACCCCTATTAAAACTAACTTTTAAGAGTTTATTTTTTTGAAGCTAAATCTTTAAAAAGTTTAAAGGAAACAATGATCACTTTGAGTAAAAATAGAATTTTCTGCCTCGAAAGCAAGTTTTGTGTCTATTACTGGACATTCTTAGGCTCTTATCTGAAAACAAAACTTTCCTATAAAAGATGTCAGCTTTGTTCAAAGTAAGACACATGTTTTGCATTTAATATTTTGGAACTGACAGCACTTTATATTTCTAGGTAAGAACCAGGATGTTTGTAGAGACAAATGGCTCCTGTACCAATTTAAAAAGCGAAGCATCATGGTGCTATGGGTCATCATCACTTAAGATTACAACACATTCTGCTCCGTGTATTATGTAAGAACATACTTCAAGGCAACAGATCTGCCCAAGAACACCAAAGAAAGTGAGACAGCCCCTTTTGAGAGGTCTTTTCAAGCAGGTCAGTCGTTATGTCCACAGCAGGCTAAGTTCTCTTGTCTCACTTGCCATTCTATGTCTATATCCCAAGTTGTAGAAGCAATCACACTGTCTTGACATTGACAGGCCCTACTGTGCCACATGGAGTTTGAATACTTTCTATTTGCTGAGGTCAGAAGCTGAGTAGGGCTCTTAGTGACTGAGGATTTGTGGGATTTTTTTTTTTTTCAAAATAGAGTGGATTTGTGGGATTTTTAACCTTGAAATACCACTTCTTCACTTGCGAATTGCATTTCCTATCTACCTAAAAATAGACAAACTCCTCTGACAATGTGACTAAGGCTGTAGACTCCTCTTCTCCATTATGTCAACCCTATTATCCAGCTACTGATGGGGGATGGGGCTCAGACACATTCTCAGTGCATCCGAGAAGGCCTCAGATGAAACTCTTGTCTAAATGGGAGCGCTTTGCCATGGCAGTGGCTGACTCACAGCCCACGTCTCATCAGGGCCAGAGTATGCTTCTATATGGCATAGTTGAGAAGGCCTTAAAGGCAAACAACAAGTATTGTAACAAAATATAATCATAAAAATCAATCACTAAATTAAAGGAACTTTTCAGCCTTCTCACATCACCCCCAGGTCATCAGACCTGTGAGAAGGGAGCCTGCTATCCAGCCTCAAAATGTCCTCAGATGGGGAAACAGTAGTTTGAGACTGAGGATTCCCCTATCTGTTCGACTGAAATAGCAGAGAAACTTGTGACTTCAGAACTCTCAACGTTGGCTTTAGACCTAGGACTCAGAGCAGTAAAGCTCCCGAAAGGAGCGTGGGCACACTAACACAATTATGCTGTCTCCTCGGCACAAGCACTATCCCCAAAACCAAGCAAGTAAGTCTGTGCTGACAGGTAGCCATACACACACATTCCCGGCAGTAAAATCAATACACTTTACCGGGAAAGCATGCGGCTCCAACAGCAGTGACAACGTACGGGCAAATTATTACAGAAACAGTACGTTTTAAAGCTTCAAAATGGGAATGGTTTGCTTTTTCATCCCCCCCCACCCCCTTTTGAGTTTCTATACTTTCCAAAGGAAACAGCTATATAAATAAGTCCTATGTCTCCCCCTCATGGCCAGGTTCGTTCTTGCCATTGCTTTTTCTTTTTCTCTTCCTTTCCTTTCTTTAATTTAAAAGGTGGGTTTTATTTTAAAATTACTATAATTCATATGTAAGAAAAACAATATAATCATATTAATGGTTATAGAAACTATTTGAAAATATTCAACATTTATTTGTGAAAAATACACTCCAGCAAATTAAGGAATACAAATGACCCAATATAGTAATTAATATCCATTAAAAAACTACGGCAAATATTAACTAATGGTGAAACTTTTAGAAACATTTCATTTTTATTTGTTTTTTTTTTCATTTTATTCTCTTTCCCTTTTTAGTTTTTATTATTTAAAACAACTTTAAAATTTGCATATATTTTGATCATGATCTTCCCCTCCCCCAAGTTCTTCCAGATTCTCACCCCTCCCTACCCGCCAAACTTTAAGTTCTTGCTCAAAAAAAAAGCAAAACTCAATACTAGAAGCTGCCAAAACCAAGAAATAAAGTAACTCCCCTCAAAACAAACAAACAAACCAAAACAAAACAACAACAAAACTACAAAACCTAAAAACCCATCAAGTGTAACCAAATAAAAGCACACACAAAACAAAACAAACAAACAAAGCAAGCAAGCAAACAAACAAACTGTGGAGTCCATTGTATTTTGGTCAACTGCTCCTGAGCGTGAGGCCTTTCCTGGAGTGGTTGATTGATTTTCTCTCTTTCAGCAGGTATAAGTGACAATTCAATTGTTAACCTTTACCCTAGTGGCTATGTTTTCATTCATTCGCTCACTCTTTCATTTTTTTAAATAAAGTATAATAAGAGAAAACAAAAACTGTCACAGCAAAGCTGGATGTTAGGCAGGTGTCCCCCTTCCTTCCTCACCACTGCACCCTCCCAGAGCTGGTCAGAGAGGACAACCTTCCTGGGATGGAGGAGAAGCGGTCTTCCATCAAGCGTATACAAACACCTGTGTGCTCGCCTGCTAGAGCCTCCAAACATGCTCTCACGGTTCCTGCCATTTCAAATGACAGCTGTCCACAAATGTGTACACACTGGAAGCCTAAACTGTCCAAAATACAGAACTGTTTAAAAAAGTTGCCATTTTCTCTTTACAAGAAAGGGAGGATTATCAGATTAAAATGTTACTTATGGGTTTGGATGCAGAGAAAAGATCTTTTCAGTCTTGTGTTTCACCAGCGTGTACGCTCATGAGGGTAAGAAGAAAGAGAAGTGCGGTGGTATAGAGATAGAAGAGACGTTAGGTGTTTTTCTTAATTGCTATCTGCCTTATTTTCTGGAAGCGGGTCTCTGCCTCCCCAGCTGTGATTACAAGTGTGTGCCGCCATTCAGGAGTGCCAGAGGCCTGAACTTAGTCATCACACTCCTACAGCGAGGCCCTTGCCCACCGACTAACCCCCTCCACGTCCATATTTTAAATATAGTGTATTCTACTTTCAAAACACAGCTATTTGGCCACTCAGGTGCCTGCTTCATGTTAGCATATGTGCACCGTGTCTATCTTGAAGTCACACTATATCAACGGTGTCTAGTTTGGAATCACCCTTTCTATGCACAGGCAGTTATTAGAAAGGGCCGTAAGGTCGAACCGCATTTAATTTTTATATGTCTAAATAATTTTAGTATAAGATCTCAAAGCCTGCTGTAATAATTCTAACTGTAATTCCCCATCAGCATAAAGGTAAAGAAAAAAGTAGTCCTCAACAGAAACTCACATTGAAAGAAGCTACATGTCTGGCACAGCGCCGCCCAACATCACCAATGTACCGTGATGCCAGCGCTGTTTCAAACAGCATTCCCAGACTGTTATCTCCAAAGGTGTTTTCATTTGACTACTCCTCGGAGCAAACGCATATACCAGGCCTCACGCTGAAGGGGAATTCTGCTTTCTGAGGTTCAGAAGCATCTCAATGCGAAGACCGGTTAGTGATGCACTTACCGTTACAGGGAGGCAGCTGGCAGACCCTGACAGACTCCGGCTTTTCACCATCACAGTGGTCCCCAGTCCTGCAGAGAACCTGTCTGACCTCTGTCCCTTCACCGCAGGTCACTGAACACTACAGAGACAAAGGCTGCAGTTACAGATGTTGATTCTGTGGAGACCAGGCACAGGCGTGCTCACAGGATCTCCACTCCCATAACACACACACACACACACACACACACACACACACACACACACACACAC